TTTTTTCTGAATAAAAAAACAATCTCGTATTAGGTATTTTTTACACTGCAATATTATGATAAGCGAGAAAAATAATATCGTTATTTAATTAATGTTTATTGTTATATGTGCCGTCGTTCGATCGTTGTTTTTGACTATACAATATTAATAATTTTTATATACCTATCGCATAACTTCAGACAAAATCCTTAATTATATTAATATCATTACCCGTTTTGATTTATTTGCTCTATTAAAAAGATGAGCGAATTATGAATTTTACTAGTATAAACAACTAAAAACATAAGTTTTGATCAGTTGCGATTATTATTTTTCATTAACACAATAATTGATTTGCATTTATTACTACGTCCATATACCGTTGAAAATACGTTTGAAATATTATTGTTTTTTAATAATAAAAATAGATCAGTAAATATTACAATAATATTACTAAAAAAGCAAATAATTAATAAATAGTAAACTTTTCAATTGTTCAATACATATTGACGTGCTTAATGATCATAATCATTAGATAAATTAAGAGCAAGAGAATAACATTAGATTTATTACGGATACTTGGAAACAATTTAAAAATAATAAAAAATCAATAAATGATTATTTGCAGGCAATGGAACTTTGTTTTTGTGTTAATCATAAAATGTGATTTTTAAATATAGGTAATAACCAGTGGCGCAACTAGCTTAATTGTTTTGGGGGAACTGAAGTCCCACATTGTTTGTGACTAACACAAAATAAAATGATGGTTAGGTTTTTTTGGGGGGACTATTACAAATTTTGGGGGGGACTAAGTCCCCCCAAGCCCCCGCCCATATTTGCGCCAATGAATTAATAACATATTAGAAAATATATAGTCATGTTTAATTTTTAAATGAACAAAAAAAAAAATTTAATTTTTGGCTTTTATTTAAATACTATGTATCATTTAGAATAAAAATTTAAAAATAAAAACAATTTTAACTAAGCCATTGATGATATTTTTTGTCAGTCCTTAACCTGTAATTGGGAAAGAAAATTGTTATTTTAATTTATAACTAGTTATTGAATGTATATGTGTATGAAAATTATAGAAAATAATATGTATTATATATTTGACATTTGTTTATGTATTATATAATAATGAATATAATATAGAAATTATAAACATGATTAATACATATACACATCATTTAATGCACAATCGTGTTGTGACTTTATCAGGTAAAAGAAGACTGGTGACCGGGGTGCGATCCTGTCACAAATTTGTTGTGCAATCGTGTTGTAATTCGTGGAGTTAAAAAGTGCGCAATCATGTGGTGTCGATAATATATATATGTAATGTGTAAAATTAAAATAAAAATTCTAAAAAAATTTAAAAATAATTACGAATAATATGTTTAAATTGACTGAGATTATCTATATCTATAATATTTAATTGTATTCTTGAATCGTGTACGCGATTTAAAGATTGAATAACTCAAAAAAACTTTTTTTTTTATTAGATAAAAGAAATATACAACTATACAAAATTTTGCACAACAAGTATTAATGATGTAAATGGTTTACATATCATGAAAGAGGCGAGATGTAGAAGGGCTCTCAATGGTGATACCTACTTGATAGAAAAACTACGTTGGTTTTTCAATGCTCGTCATTTTTTTACGATAAGCAAAAATATCGAACAGACCTTATAAACACTTAATCTAAAATGTACGTGGTATGCCGCTACTTTAACTTACCATTAAACTTGACAAAATATAAAATTTTTATTTTCAAAGTATAAAATATATTCGTATTAAGGTAAGTTTATATTCTACGTTCTCACTTAACATGCATGTATCTACTTATGAGTTCAAATGAAAAACTTTGATGGTAAAATATGAATGAGATTTTGTTGCATTACAATTTTGTAAGACTGTAAAAGGGATGTATATAGTTTAAACATAATACATTATATTATATACACATATAATATATTTTATGGGTACACCCTGAATAGAGGCGTCATTGCGTCAACACGAAACGAACGTATTTTAATTCCATTTTTATTAATATTTCTCAGTACAACTAGTATATTGAATGTAATATCAACCGCCGTTTTCAATCAACGTATTGATAATATGGCTTAAGACTTTCGAAATTGCTTCAGTGATTGTTGTACTGCAATCGGATTATCATCGTGTGCTTAAATAAGAACCAAGGTATACATGATTTCCACTAATCACATATAGATGCCTTTTATATTTGAACATTTTGAGAAGGCTTATATATTATATAAAATGCAATATGCGCTTATTTATGTTTCGAGTATCGTATATTGTATACTTCACGAATTACGAATACTAAATCGTTAAAATATGTGATGAATATGTTAGTTTTATTACAGACTTAAAAATATCTTCAAATATTAATACATGTATTTATATTTATATAAGTATTAATAAATGTATATATACATATTATATAGCCATGTAGGTAGTATTTAAGTATTTTTTCAAAAGCCACGTATTTAGTATATTATGTAAGTATAAAATAATATATTATTAACCTTAAGCTGAGGTATAGAATGTTAAAGGTGCACGGCTATCGTCCACAATCATTATTTAGAGGGGGAGGGGTCAAAATCAATATACGGTAATACGGTATACATATCAGCCTTAGTATCATTATAGTATCAGCCCAGATGCAGATATAGAATATATATTAGGGGAGGGGGCACCTTGAGTAAAATTTCAACCTAAATTAGATAAAAATAAAAATATGAGAAAATACTATATGTTAACTAATAAGTATATACTACTATTAAAATTCCAATTCGTCAGTATAATTAAATTAATGAAATTAATGGTAAATTAGGTTAAATTAATTGTAAACTTACAAAATAAAATAATCAATAATACAAAATAAAACACGTTAAAAAAAAAAAATAAATAATTACAGAAAAAAATCGTTTTGTCTTTTTAATTTTGAAAATAAAACTATACGCATGTTTGGCGTCAATGATCAACGATCATAGCAACCGCACATATATCCCTATAAGTATCGTATCGTACATTAACTAAATATATATTTTTTATAAATATACTGTACTATAGACTACGGTATTAATGTTTTCCAACCTATGGGTTGTAGCATTTTTTTAGTAAGGTATTAATAATAAGTACTAAAGTCGTTCTAATTCAATTGCTTTAAACTTTTATTATTTTACTTATAAAATAAAATCCTTTTTAGTTTTTAAAATATTTTATTAAATCTTTATACAATTGCAGTAGGTACTTATTTTATTTTTCATTGCAGTGTATTGTATTAGCGCACAGCTTTAATTTCACCAAGCCTTTCAAATAATAGGTACAAAATTCAAAATGCACGACAACAAGTAGGCTCAATTAGATAAAGCTTTTAAGAATACTTATATTATTAAACGCTATACGTAATTGCGTTTCTATTTCCCGTACAATATTTTATACTCAATATTGTAATTTAGGTCACGTGTCTTGAAAATAATATGTACTCGATTGTAATGATTCAAATTGAAATACCTATACCACATCTATTGTTATACAATTGCATTATTTAATGTCGCTAATATTAGAGTGAGACAATGTTACTTTTTTTTTTTTGCTAGCCTACAATAAATATATTATACATAGTATAGACCTATAGTAACTTTATATTTTTATTTACCAACCTTTTCATTTTCTAGGGTTAATTTATAAATGAAAACAATGGTTTTAATATAATTCAGTTACGGTTTGAAAACTTAAGTTAGATATACACAATTTGATAAAGTAAATATTAAAAATAGTAATATATATCTACAAATAAGCATATTATACTATGTCTTATAGTTCAAAGTACATCAGTATATGTTTCAGTATATTAGCCATTATATGGTATTTCATGAATATACCTATAATAAATACCTAGTATGGATATAATTTATATCATTATAGACTTCAGTCTAAATAATTAATTTGTGGACATTGTCGTTTATTCCACAACATTTATTTTATATTATTCACCTGGCCAATTATTTCAAAAATAATATTTTATATGATTATAAGATGGATTTTTCTCCCGTTCAATACGCTAATTAACATCCTCAAATGTTTTATTTTAAATACTTTTTATGTTATTAGTGTTATTACTGTAATTTAAAACGTTTAGTAATAATTTTTTGGCAGCAAATTTTGGTAATAATTTAACGGATAGGTAGGTACTATTGGCCATCTGAAGTCAATAAGGTCCATAATTTTATACAAATTGTTTTTCGACTTAATACGAGTTTCTGAACAGATACGAAATTTTCAAAAATCGTGCACCTGTTCCCATTGTATGGAATTATAAGATTTATTTTTCAAAAATAAAATTTGAATTTAAATTATTTTAAATATGTGTTACTATAAATTTTATTTTATATATTATTTTATAACACAATATTATATTTAGTATGTATACATAAATCAATTAAATAACGTGATATATTTTAGAAAAGTTTTTGAACCACCTCTTATTTTTTTAATTTTCTATGGGAGGCAACTTTAATTTAGATCAGTTGAATGAAAGATGGGTAGAGCCACAAATCGCGGAGCTGTTGTGAACTATATATTAGGAGTGGGAGTCATTCAATGAAAGTTGATAGGAATGAAAAGTAGGTGTGGCCAAATTGGGAAGACCACCTTAAATAGTCCTTAATAACTAAAAATTAAAATGCATTATGTCTGAGTGATTACCAAATACCAAAGGCATACATGATACATCGCGCGTGTAGGACTTAGAATTATTTTAAGCTGGCTGACATACATGGTTGGTGGTAACTGGTAAGATATGTCATGGTAGTTTTATTTTTTCGTGGGCCGGCTGCCAATTTAAAAATGTTATGAGATTCGAAATCAAATAATATCATAAATTTATTATTATGGTGTTTAAGACATTATTTAAAATACTGCAGTATTGCCAGCACTGTTTTGTATGTTTCGGTACAAAATTAACTGATAATAGATAACGTATATTTGTGTGCTATACAACTTGAATTAGTAATTACGTTTGTCGGCTTTTTTCCAAATTGTATTAAACATTGAATGCGTTTTTGTATTTCATATTCAATATTTATCATAATATAGCAAAGTACTAATTTAAATTTATTTTTACCCAAAATGAGTCGCAAAGAAGCATTAACACAGTTTATACAACAAATTCATGGTCGCCCGGTTGTAGTGAAATTGAATAGTGGAGTCGATTACAGAGGTAATGTTTTTCACAACTCACTTTATTTAAATTTTAAATATGCACATCTTCTGTTTTGTACTGATATTTCGGATCCGTTGCAGTGTCAATCTTAAGAGTGATAGACACGATATTTTCTTGCCATGATAAGGTATTCGCTTATTATTTTTAATCACATCAACGAGACTAACATTTTGACTATTTCATACACCGGAACACACGAATTGTGTCCTAGTGATATTTATTGAGTACAAGAGTTACGTCCCAATATAAAAACATAATTTTCCTACAGACTTAAGACTGTTAAAAGCACATTATAACTATCGGTAGGTTAAAAATATGGTTTTGTTTTGTCAATTTTTGCATTTAGAAGTATATATATAAATTAAATTAGTATTAAAAAATTAAATTAATATTTAAAAAATTATAAGACTTAAAAATTACCTTACTATTTGAAATAAAACTGAGAAAAAAATATAATTATAAAATAGTCGTATGGATAGTTGGACACAACTTGTTTAGTCATTTAGATTAAGTCGGACATAACTCTTGTAGTCATTTAGATAAAGCTGGATGCAATTCATGTGCAGCTGAGTGCTCAATGTCACAAATATCTTTTGTTTCAATCCAAGCTGACTGATCATATTGTCAGTAATTTATTATGTTTATGCCAGTAATACCCTAAACTCTATATCTATCTACAGTACATTCTACAGTTGATTTCTTATTTTTGGAAAGTTGGGTATTTAGATAGATTACATCATTGTAAAGTATAAAAGACATAATGTTAAGACATGTGGACGTCTACGATACAGAAATCACAAAACGTATATTGTTTATAGACTTTACCCACATTTATAGATGAGTGGATATTAATTATTTTAATTGTTATATTAGTTTTTTAAAGACCAAGCCACTGATATGAAATAATGATGAATAATTATATTATATTTATACATTAATGATCTTTATTAGGTGTAATGGCTTGCATAGATGGTTACATGAATATTGCTCTTGAACAAACAGAAGAGTACATAAATGGAGAACTTAAAAACAAATTTGGAGACTCTTTTATTCGTGGCAACAATGTATTGTATATTAGTACACAAAAAAGGAAAGGGGTATAATATACTTTATGAATAATGTTATTTGTATTCTCAATTTATATGCTTGTGAAAAATAAAATCAAATAAACTAATATTTATAAGTTTTTGTAATAGATATTAAATAACCATAATTAATTGGTGTTCCTTTATATTCAAAAAGTACCCTATGTAATTATTATATTGATTTTCAGGTTATAATTTTAGTTGTATTAATTATATAATGTATAGTACACATTTATTGTGTGCTTATAACTTATATTAGTTTTAACTATGTATAGCGAGATATGTAATTAATCAATGGTTGTAGGTACTATATAGATTTATTCTATGAAACATATTTTTTCTATACCAAACTTACAATTACAAAAAGAGTAATCATAAATGTAACTTATATTTTGTTCTTACTATATGAAATTAATAAAGTTAAAAGAATTAATAAAGTAGTAATTATATTAGTAATTTTTTTTTTAGTCAATGAAGTTGAAAATGTGGTGTGATTGCATAGATGCCAAGATGTCTAATTGTCTTTTTTTATTAATATGTTAATGTGTAATTTATCTACTTTTTATTTATATATTGAATATCCTCAATAAATAAAAAGTACAATTTTCTACCTAATTTAAATAATTTTTTAATTTTTTTGTATAACATTGTGAAAATAAGTTTCTATAATATATAGGCTCTAAAATAATAACACACTTATCTATTCAATCTAACAGAAACAAGGAAAGGATCGTCTAAACTAGTGGTTCTCAATCTTTTTTGTATGATGACACCTTAATTTAGATCCACGAAAATGGCAACACTAATTCAGGCAACCTATAGATACAATATAAAAAAAAACTTTTTTTGCTCATTAATTGTTTAAAAAGCTGTCGTTTAATATTAGTATTTCATGTGATGCATTTGGAATTATTTTGTGACGCATCAGTGTGTCGCGACACACTGGTTGAGAACCATGGGTCTAGACTAAGGTATTGTTATTAAGTTATCACCTGAGTTCTATACTATTAGATGACTAACATTAATACAGTAAGTAATAATATCAAAATTGTTATATATATAAATATTTTTAGGTTTAGAACTCATGGTTCTTTAGTCTACAGTAGTTTCAATTTTCAAGTAAGATACATGTAAATCAACAGTTTTTACTTTTTTTATTGATATATTAACCAAAACCCAAATTAATTGCAACATACCTAAATCAATAAAACCAAACTTATTATAAATAACAATTCAAAAAATGATAGTATTACATAAACTAATGAGAACCACGGATGTAAAATTATAATGATGTTAAAATAATAAAATAAATAATTTTTAATATAAGATTTCTTTTTTTTCTTCTGTAGAATTTTAGAAATTTTGGAATTTGATAAATGATCATTTGAAGGTATTTATCATCCTACATCATATTCTAAGTACCTAGTTATAATGCTTGAGCTTGCAAGAAGTAATTAAATTGCACATAATTTTACTATTTAAAGATTGAAATGAGTAGGCTACTCATTCAGTTAATATATAATCTTTTATAAAATGTTTTAAGAAATTAAAACTCCAATTTTAAAAAGTTTTACATTCTACGAATAAGTAATATAAAAATAATGTACATAATATATAATAGGTGCTATTTTTTTAAATACTTTTTTTCAATATGGAATAAAAATTAATATTATTATATTAAACAAAACCCTTTTTTTTATATAATTTTTTAATTAATATTTTTGACATATTTCTTTACATTAAGTACTTCTATTATAAACAGAGACACTGCAGGTAAGGTTCATTAAAATTTTAAATAAAAACATCTACCTAGTTCTTTTGTATGAATAACAAACAATTCGTTATTGTAATTTAGTTACAAAATGATGCTTGAACAGATTTGTATAACAATGCAATAATCTCTTCTGAACAATTAATGAAAAATGGAATTTAATATTGAAAAATTGGTTACTTTATCACATTAAATTAATATTTAATTGAGTTCAACTGTAAAAAAATAAAACTTTTTAAATATTCGTTGTGCAAAATAAGGAAATAAACCGGCCATTGTGTAAATTAATAAAAAACATTTTTTTAACGACGAGTAAGTGGATGAATAAAATTAGCAAAAAAATAAAATATTTTTAAAAGTTGATATCGAAATTAAAGACGTGCTATAAGTACGGGTTATTTTGAGTAGACGCTTATTATAACTTAAACGATTTTTATTGTCGGTAGTAAATTGTCATACTCCACATATCTTACATGATGGAAATAAAGAGTACTTGCCCTTCCCCTCTATATAAATATATATATAGTTCTTTTTTATAAGTTTAAAATCCTATAAAACCATCTATTGATAGCTATTGGAGTGTGAAATTTTTTCCAAGTCCCTACGGGCTTCCTACGTGTGCCATTTGCTCGAATCACCGCTGTGTCGTTGTATATAATTTCAATGATGCGTCAATGCACGTTCGCACATTATTAGTTCATAGAAGTATATTATAATATAGCCTAATTGTCTTAATTGTAAACTTATTTTCTTGAAAATTTTAGTTTTTGAAAACTTTTTTTTTCTTAGATAATTTAAAATAATAAAAAAAGTACCTACAAAAACATAATTTTTGAAATTTTTTCTCTATAAAAAGTATTGCATATAGATATATGACTAGTGTCCTCTGGTGTACTTAAGTAAAGATATGCCTATTACTGTGGCTTGTACAGCTCGTTCAATGGATTTACGTTTTTTTTGTTGTATTTATATTATTCATAGTCATATAGGTAATCTATAGATTCCTCCTATTAATAATCCTCGCATAATCATTATTCTTAGGTAAAATGTTTTTATGTGATGTCAATATTAGACATTGGTGTTGTTTTGATGAGTAAATTATTTAATGTAAACCTATACGGTATCAACAACACTGATTGCAGTCGAAATAATATATCTTGTTTTTACATTATTTTTCAGTCATATTTGTCTCATCTATAGTTTGTATTTCCTTTTATTTAATCAAACTCAACTCAAAATCGATTTTCGGCGATAGTTTGTTATTATAGCTACGAGTATTTTTGAATTCAAAACAAAAAGTTAAACCAGTTGAACTGTTAAAAGCAAGATTTTTGGAGTATCCTGTTAAATTTTATCTTATTTAATTTTACCGAGAAAATTAATTAGCATATTAAAATCATTGAGAGTAGGTAAGAAAAACTACTCTTTATTAAATAAAAAATAAAATTACAATTATAAAAATAAGGATTAAATTTCATTAAATAGACCTAGGTATTCTTTATATTTTAACGATTTGGGTAATTAAAACATACGAGTATTATTTTGAATTATTACGAGTTAAGTGTAGGATATATTATTCTCACACAATTAAAAGTATGTTATTATTCTGTTTTAATTTTGTTTCAAAAGTATAATTTAATACTGTGTATTATAATATCACTAGTATATCTAGGTATACAATACGCATAGTACCTACAACTTATTACACTGACAATCAAACAATAACCTGCGAGTAGTTTACTTTGTTTTCTGGTTTTATTTAGTACCTACCTATAGGTATGTCTAATTAACATCTCACAAACAAATTAATGAAGAATAATACTACAAAGGTATATATACAGCAGTGTTCCAGAACATCCACAAAACTCAGAGACACACATAAGAGTATCTAACAATTTTAAAAAATAATTTATAATTTTTTGTTCATTCTTAAATTTATTATTATAAATTATAATATTATGCATTATATATATTTAAAAACCATTAATAGATTAACCATAGAATAGGTATTTCGGTGTATACTTTTAAATTGTGAAGTTATTATATATTATCAATCTATTTTTTATGATGATATAATAGGTAGGTACGTGGGGACGTTCCATTTTCCTCCACAAAATAAAAAAAGGTTGGTTTCCATTTTCCTCCAATATTTTACCCAGTGTTGTTGTATTATGTTCCATATTATGAAGATAGAGTAAGGCTAGGATCACATTTTGCGCTTATCGGTCGATTTAATTACATTCTGGTATCGACCGTCTATTGATTGTTCATATTATGTCTAATTTTCTTTTCCTTAAACAGGTATTCATTTGTTGCTGAAATGTCCAATAATTATAAAAAATATAATATTATAGTCAATTAATTTTTATTTTGCTATACATGAATTATTTATATGAAATATGAACTATTTTATTCTTTTATTTGTATATAACATAATACCTGACAAAAAAACAAAATATTATAATCAATTTCATTTTTTTTTTTTACTATACCTATTTTATTTATTATTTATTGGAGGAAAATGGAAAGTGGAAGAAAATAGTCAAGAATAATTTTTTATTTTTTTGGAGGAAAATGGAACGTGGAGGAAAACGGTATCTGGTTTTTGGAGGAAAATGGCTACAGCCGGTACGCGATACACTCATTATTACTATATTAATATATGTATTATCACTAATCACTATTTAGGTTACCTGCATTTATTAGATTATTTATTACGGTATAATCACTAAGTCACTTATTGATCAAATCCATATTATTATGTATATATAAACAGGATAAAGGCTGTACTACGCGTTATATATATATATATGTATGTGTGTGTGTATGTGTATTGGTTATTAAACATAATATATACTTTCATCGCAAATTTCGAGAAAAATAGAGTTTTTTTTTTACAATACACATTCGGAGAATGAAAAAAATATAAACGACTGTGAGTTGTTATTATAATGATGTTTTTCTTTTTTTGCCTCTGATCGCGGAATCGAACAATATGATGAATACATAATGTGGCTTATTGTGCGCACGCACGTGCGTGTGATGGCGTTCGCAGAAGACAGCTATTGTAAGTAGTACCTCCTCAACGGCCGAGACCTACGTGTGCATATTATATATATATATATGTGTGTGTGTACGTATATATACATTTATTTATTTGACGGTCGAAACGGAGGAGGGTAGTATATCGAGTATCCATCAGTTGCAGCAGTAACAATTTGCAACAGACGAACGGCGCGCGTACTGACTTTTGCTAATTATTATCCGAAGACGGTGGCGGTGGTGTGCCCGGTCGGATATATTCGCTGCACGCTGTGCGGTTCATTCGATAATATTATATTCCCTTCATTAGCTCATCACGGGCAATATCCGTTCTCTGGCGCAGCGGTATATTTAATCGTTGTGTGTGTGTGTGTGTGTGTGTGTGTGAGAGAGAG